CCCCTGTGTGGAGCCACCGGCGAGGAGGGTTCTGTCCTGTGTACAAATTGCAGAGGGTGATTATAACAATACTGATAACTTTCATTTATTTGGTAAACATTTATTGAGTATCTAATATATGCAAGACACTCTAGCACATACAGGGGGTGCAGAAGGACATCACCTCAAGGAGCCCTGTCCCCAGGAGAAATTGACCAGTAGATGCGCAGTGTCTGTCCAGTGGGATGAGGAGGGACCCAGAGAGCATGGGGCACTGTGAATGAGGGGGCTGGAGGTCAGGGATGCTCCTCTGAGGAGCTGGTGTGTTATCTGAACCTTGAACTTTCCCAGTCTGAAGAGCATAGAGGATATTCCAGGCAGAGGGTGGGCGTCCCGAGAGATGCAAGTCGTTGATCGTGGCCATGGTTTACTGGGAGGGGCACCTCGCATCTGTAAAATAGGTCTCGAGTCCTCAAGATCCGTCGAGGAGTCTATGTGACTGAATCCCTTTATGAGTACTCCCCTCGCTGTGGGATTTAGGGATTGATGCTCATTTTTAGCAATGTGGAGACATCCCAGAGCGGTTTAGGGAATTTCCAAAAGAGAGCTAGTGGTTGAGCCTAGCTTAGACACCCCCACCCCCCAGCCCACTTCCCTAGCCCTCAGCACCGCCTCTGCCTGCAGGAAGGGAAGTAAGTAGAGGGTCCGTGTTCCCTTGGGCCATCGTGGAGCTGGCTCTCTGTCAGTGGGGGTGAGGGTGCCAGGTCCCCTTGCACAAATCCTCCTCGCCCAGGCTGTCACCCTGACTTGGTGTCAACAAGTGGGTCACTAGGGCCCTTGGTCTGGAGCTGAAGCAGAGAGGGCGGCATCATGGATGGATCCTGAGCTCTTGATTTATTTGGAACTCCTGGGGAAGCGCTCCCTCTTTGGAGTCTGGGAGCGAGCAGGAAGTAACAGGCCTAGTTGGCCCCTTGCAGGCAGCGTAGAGTTTGAGGAAGCCCAGACCCCGGCGAGTGGGAGCGCCGTGACAAGGCCGTGTCTGGCTCAGTGGGTGTGGAGTGGGCTTTGGAGCCAGACAGTGTCAGCTTGCCATTTGCTAGCTCTGTAACCTTAGACAACTTACTTACCCCCAAAGCCTTGACCTCCTCCTCTGTAAAATGGGATAGCAACAGGCTCACCCCATAGGACTGCTGTGAGGACTAAATGAGGTACTGTGTGCAAAGAGCTCAGCAGCATGCCTGGTGTCTATTAAGCTCTATAGTAAATGTTCTCCAGATGTTAGCTGTGCAAATTTCCTTCCAGGCTTGCAACGTGCCTGGCTCACAGTGGGGTACTATTTGTTGAAAGGCCTATGTGAACTCAGGTTTGTTAGCATTTGTTAAATAAGGAAGTATTAAAATTTGGATTGAGTTGTTACTGGCCTCCAATAAATGAAGCAGGCATGGAGGATTTTTACTGCAGGGAAAACCGTCCAGTTTTCTTAACTCCCCCTGGCTCTGAGGTTTTATGATTCTTCTGCACAGCGCTTCAGGATTTTCTTCAACGTAAACACACTGACAAGGGCAGTATTTTACAACCGGAGTCTGGTTAGACTTCTGGTGCCCACCCGCTGGCTTGGGTCTGGGATCTAAGGCTGTTGAGCTGGTAGGTTTGGGACCTGGTTGCTGGCGTAAAGACATCAGGGTAAGTGCTGTTTCCCGCAGATGTGGTTATGACTGCAAAGTGGCCAGAATGTGGAACTCCGTCAGTGGGTTTGCTGGGCGGCGGTTTGCCAGGAGGATGCCTGCTGAGGACACAGGGGTGGCTGTGCAGCTGACAGTGCCTGGAGTGTCAGGATGGGAGATGGGAACCCTGGAGCCCTCTGGCCTGCCTGTCTGTGTGCCCACAGCTGGAGGCAATGAGCCCAGGGGACATGGGGTTGAGAGGCGCCAGAGCTGGGGGCTCCAACCTTGACTGTGCCTCCCAACTCTGACCTTGGGACTTGAGGGCCCCTCCCTGATTCTCCCTGCCCCGTCTGTGACTGAGGGAGAGGAAGGGGCTGCAGGAGGGTTTGACCAGGCCCGCCGGGTGGTCCTTGGGTTTGAGCAGCCTGGGAGCCCCTGGTTGAGAGAGCTAGGGGTATGGGCCTGCACCTGGGGGCATGGCTTCTCCTCCTGAGTCTGCCACTTACTCACTGTGTGACCATGGATAGGACACTCAGATGCTCTGGGCTGCAGCTTCGTCAGCTGTAAAATGGGGAAACTGGCCCCTTGGGTACTTTCCCGATCTGTGATGCTGAAACACCCTGGAGAATTGCCAGCGACTGTTTTTTTTTTTTAGGTGGGCAATTCATGCATGTGGTAAAAGATATTGAAAAGTTATAAAAGGATATAGAGTCAAAGTAATCCTCCCTCGGACCCCACCCACTGCCCCCCAGTTCCCCTTCTCAGAGGCATTCACTTTGAAGTTTTTAGAGATTTTCTATGCATATGCACCCATAAATGTATGCACATGTTCCCACCTTTAAAAATTTTAAATTACTAAATGTACATCCAAAAGCACATATAAAACGTATGTACAGTTTAAAGAATGATAAACTGAACACCTGTGTACCCACCGCTCAGGTTGAGAAATAGAAAATTCCCAGTGCCTTAGGTGGGAAGCATCCCATTTATTCAAATGAGCCTGCTGTTTATACGCTTCTGTACTTTTTAAAAAATTTATTCTATCTGGGAGATTGGCTCACATCAGGGCATATAGAGCTGTCTTATTCTTTTTAATAGCTGCATAACATTTCCTCTATATGGATGTGCCATGCTTTTATTGATCCCCTCTTGATGGATAGTCAGGGTGTTTCCAGTCTTTTGCTGTTGCCAACAATGCTGCAATAATTTTTCTGGCTTCTAGGAACTGACATTAATCAAAATATGCTGAAGGGGTCCTATTGCATCAGCCTCCCTGACCTGTCCATCATTTCTAGAACAACATGGAAACATTGAAAACAGCAGCCCTGCATGGCTCTCGTCTCCTAACACATGGATGTCCTGGGGCTCCTTGTGCCTTCCTGGAGCCAGCGTTGCCTGTCTGATGTCACAATTTCCTGGAAGCCCCTTGGGCCGGGTCTCCGCGGGGCATGTGGGATCTCCAGTTGGGCTTATGCTGTAAATGCTGGAGAAGTTTGCTGATGGGAACTCAGCTGCAGCCTTCACTCCAAACAGAAAAGTTCCTTTTCTTTTGATTATGCAATGTTCCTGTGAGGGGCCTGGGTCTGCTCTTCTTTCTGCAGATGGGAATGAGGCCGGGGACTGGTTTGGGGGTTCAAGCCCAGGCCACTTGTGTTTTTGAGATGGTCCTCCTCACCGTTCCTTTCCTGCTTCATCTGCCTTCTTCCTCATTTCCTCTTGCCCTTTTCTCTCTCTCGCTTTGTTCTTTGTCCTTTTTTCTTTCTTCATCCCCACACCTACCCCTTTGGACTAAAATTTCTGGGAAGCTGGCTGATTCTTCCATCCACAGGTGCAAAAAGTTCTGGCTATTCTTTCTTTTCTCTCGCAGTTCTGAATGTGAATGGGCCCCAGCATAGAAAGTGTGGGGTGGTAGGTGCTAAGGTCAGAGGTCTGTGAATCGGGGGCATTGGGTCTGGCTCCCTTTTGCTGCTGCCTTCTCCTGTTGAGTGGATCTTTCGCCCCTGGTCTCTTTACTTCCTCCTCATTCAGGGTGTGTGGCCATGAAATGGGGAGGGTAGAGCTGCCCAGGAGGAGGTCGTGAAGAGTCTGCAAACTCTTTGGCCTTTGGGTTTCCGGGGGCGAGGCGCTGGGAGGTGGCATGGTCCTCAGGGAGATGAGGAGGTGCAGGTACCTTCTCAAAGTGACAGTGTTCCCTTGGTTCACCACTCTGGGTGGAAAGGTGATGACCCAGAAGCTTGTCATATAAAGTTGGTTCAAAGAGGCCACTAGGCCTGGATCTGGAAGCGTTTTTATCTTTGTGGGTCTGTGTGTGTCTCTGTGCTCAGTCCCCTCACTGAAAGGCAGTAAAGTGCTGAGCGAGGGTGTGGACTCCAGAATCAGGTCAGCTAGGTCTGTCCAGCTCCACCTCTCATCAGCACACTGGAGGGACCTTTCCAAAATCACTTTTCTAAGCCTCAGTTTTTGCATCTGTAAAATGGGGCTGTTGAAGCCTGATATGAGATTATCCTTGTAAAGCGTTAAGCACATAGTAAATGTTGCATAAACGTTAGCAATTATTCATATCTTTTAAGTGGTTGTCAAACATTTCAGGCAGAGTAATCCTCCTTTCTTTCCCTAGTGAAATCTTCCCTGGAAAGTCAGTTTATAAAGCAGATGAAACAAAAGTGGCACAGGTTGCACGGGTGGGATGGGCATGGTAGAATGTAGGCAGCAGAGGCCCAGGGGTCTTTCTGGGGGTCCCTGAGCCTCTCTCCTGTGGTCCAGGGAGCAATTTGCAATTCTGAGACGTAATCGAGTTGTGCAAATTGATCCAGTATTTATTAAAACTGAAAATATATACTTCTTAGGATTCAGCAGTCCAGCTCCTGGGAATCTGATACCTATGGAAACCATGGCCTGTATACATAGAGGTGTGTGCACGAGGCTGTTCAGGGTAGCATTGCGTGTAGATGTGAAAGGTTCAAGATGCCTGAGTGTCCGGCTGTAAGGGAAAGACAGTCAGTTATGCAATACTATATGACTATAAAGTGGACAAGGTAGATTGATGGAGCGTCTTGCAAAGATTTTCATGATATATTAAGTATAAAAAGAATCAGATGCCGGGGCTGGCCCTGTGGCCTAGTGGTTAAGTTTGTGCGCTCCGCTTGGGCAGCCTGGGTTTGGTTCCCAGGTGTGAACGTACACCGCTCGTCTGCAGCCATGCTGTGGCGGCGACCCACATACAAAATAGAGGAAGACTGGCACAGACGTTATCTCAGGGTGAATCTTCCTCAAGCTAAAAAGAGGAAGATTGGCAACAGATGTTAGCTCAGGGCAAATCTTCCTCAGCCAAAAGAAAAAAAAAGATACAGAATGATATATATGGTGTCTTCCTCTTTTTGAAAGCATATGTTATGTATCTATACCTCTATGTATAGACACACGCAGATACACAGAGTGCTTGTTGCTCACTAGTATAGGAACCAGCTGGGAAGGGTGCCGAAACTTTTCTTTGTGGAGTTCTTCCCTGCCCCCCAAAGACTAATAATACTTTGGGCAATTTTGCTTTCTAGTTAGTGTTTTCCTCCCAATTAAAAAGAAAGAGGTCACCCCAGAGATGAGAAAACAATTCCACAGCAGGCAGCGGGTTGGCCCCGGGTCGCACAGGTCCTGCAGGAGGAGCGGGTTGTGGGTGTGGGCTCGGATGATATTGAAGCCAGCCTGCTGCATGGAGGCCCCTGCTCCTGGCTTGTTTTCCCTCCACAGGCTGGCTCTGTGGGCTGCGTTCCTGGTCCTCTCTGCTCGCCATCTGTTGAGGAAGCTGCGTTGGGCTGTTCGCGGTGCCTCCCCCCACGTCTAATTTAACGAGCCACCCTTCTCTCAATAGGCATCCCCTTTATTTCCAGGGGTCAGCCTCCTGATGAAACCCCTTTGCGGGAGACAGATGGTCCTGACAAGCAGATTAGTTGCGCGTTGGGAGGCGAGAAGGTACTAGGAGGGAGCGTGCAACAGTGAAGAGTGGGTGGCCTCAGAATAGAAATTCATGAAGCATCCAGGAAGGTAATTTTAAACACTGCTCCTCTCGAGGCTGTGGTTTGGGGGTGAACCAAGCTGAAGAAGCTGGCCCGGCACACGTCAGAAAGGCTTCCTTCCCTGTCCGTCTGGGGAGGGAGGGGTCTGCTTAGCTCCCCTTTGCGTTGCTCTGAACTCTGTGCACAGCTATGCCTGCTTGTTCCTGTGCTGGCTTAGACCTCTAGGAACTGTCGGGGGTCCGTTAGCAAGGTCATTCTCCAGAGCCAGTAGACCTGAGCTCAAGTGCCAGCCATGTCTCTGACCCATCATGTGACCTTGGACAAGCCACTTCCCCTCCTTTGGGCTGAGCTTCTAACACTCCTAAATCAGGGGATCAGATGAGGCGAGTCCTCCTGTCTCTCACAGCTCTAGAACATTCTGTGAGTAATATGCCCATATATGCTGCTTGCAGGGAGAGAGTTGTGAGCTGGACAAAAGGCCCCAGAAGTGGAGGCACTGTGCTTTAGGGCTGGCCGTCTACCACCGGGCGTACCTGAGTGTGGGTCCTGCTCTCCTCTCACCAGCCTGGAGTCGGGAGGAGGTGGCGCCCGTTTTGAGCCTGAATTCCCACCCGTAAAATGGGGCTAACCCAACTTGCCTTGCAGGATGATGAGGATTTGTGAAAATAGGGTAAAATTCCTGGCACATGGTGGGTGCTCATTAAACCATATTATACACTTAGTTGTCGGCATTCCCACCCCTGCTTTTTGCTTTAGCTGGAAAACGTGTTCCACGTTGGCAGGGAAATGGGCATTATCTCGCTTTATGGATGCCACTTCATAGAAAGCATTGGCGCTGGGCCTTAACAAACCTTTCCCAAAGCAACGTGTGTTCCTTCGTCATGTCATTCTGATTCTGGTTAACATCCATCCATCATTTACAGCGTGCCACGCAGGTGATAACTCTAATCTCCTTTAATCTTCGTGAAACCCTGTGAAGTGATAGGGACTATTGTCTCCACTTTATAAATTAAGAAATCGAGGCTCTGGGAAGTGAAGTGAGGTGCCCAAGGTCACACAGTCAGTAAATGGTAAAGCCACGACTGTGTCACCTCTTTCAGGTCTTCTACTCTTCGTCCTTCCTCATGAATGTGTGCTTTTCAGAACAGGGGGGTGCCTTAGAGGACCAAGAAAAGCTGCGAAACACTTGAATCAGACAGGAAATCACACACTTGAATTCCTTAACATGGTAGATTTTCCAAGTCAGAGATATTCGCGATCGGCCCCATACAGTGCTGTGGCTTGGCAGACCCTGCGAGGTGCTGGAGGCCCCTCGCCCTATGGGCCACGTGATTCAGCTTTGTCTTGTTTATTGCAAGTGACCTTGAGTTACCTAAAACTCAGCGAAATGTGTTCTTAATTTGCCCTTTTAACAATGCTGATTTCTCCCCTGGAACTGAGATTTAAATACCCCTTCCTTCTGTGTTGTCACTCATTTAAAAAGCAGCATCCTAAGAAACCCCAACCCTGAACCCTCGTAATTGCGGGGTAGGGTGGAGAGGGAGGGGTACTGGATAGGAAGTCATGCCCTCGCTCCTGGCAGCGTTCTAGGTTGCTCTGGTTAGAATCGGGAGCTGGGCTGAAGACTTGCCTGCTGCCGGCCGGTTACAAAGCGAAACAGCGCCTGCGTTAGCCAAGAGGCTCGGCTGTCGAGGGTGCTGCCTTCAGTTTGGGGCGTCTGAGGCTCCCAGTCGGCGGTGTGATCAGCTGGGCTCTCACGGCCTCTTCCTCTGTCCGGCTGGAGAACAGCTGGGGGGCTCCTGAGGTGGCTTGCTTTCGTCCCCACCACTTGGGCAGCTGCCGTCCATGTCGGCCTTTGATGTCTGCCGGGGGTTTGGAGCAGAGAGAGGCCTGGAAATGCTCGTGGGTCATAGTGAACTGGAGACAGGCTCCTTCTCCCCCCTCCTCTGTCTCACAGCAGGGAAAAAAGTACAAAGAGCTTCCAGGAACAACTAGGGATTTTTTTTAAGGCTCTTACACAAAGACTTGAACTTTGAGAGTGAAATTGCCGTGGGGTTTCGTGCAGCGGAGTATGTAAGATTACGCCTGGGGAGGCGGGCGTGTGCTCGGATGAGAGCTGTGGGCAGTGCGTTTCGCCTGGCAGTCCACGCAGGTGAGCACTGTGGGCTGTCAGAAGGGAGGAGGAAAGACGACAGCAGGTGGCAGTAATTTGGAAGCTTGCCTCTGAGTGAGGTTAACCAGAATGGATCTGTCCCAAGCGTTAAAAAAGCAAGTGAAAGGGACAGATCTCCTGTGCCTGGGGTCACATGCCTAGTCAGTGCCTTAATTGGACCCAGGATATGGGCCCCCTGACTTGCCACCAGTCCCCCAGGCTGCCTTTACAGGGTTAATGTTTTCTTAGAGATCATTTGAGGGACCGATATTTTGGATTCCAGAGACATGAATGAACAGGTGTTTTCATTTACATTTAAAAGCAATAAAGAACAGGAAGGAGATTTCTGGTATTTGCCCTATTTTAAAACCGACTGGATAAAAAAGAAAAATCTCGGTGGAGCTGTTTCCCTCTCCATCTTGATGTCCTGATAATGCAGGCTCCTTCTCTGAGAGGGCCATTGGGCGGCGTCCCTTCCAAGTCTTCCAGGAAGCTGATTTTTGGACACTGGCCACCTACTCAACGTGGCCTGCTGGGTGGCTCCCACGCCTGGGAGGCGGCCCTGGCAGTGTCCCTGGGCCCAGCCCATGAGCAGGTGTGTCCCAAGTGATCCTGCTCTGACTCCGACGCTGGGGAGACAGAGGGAAGGGGCTCCTGGGCGGTACAGGTCCCCAGTGGGCCAAGCGGGTAAGTGGGGTGGCTGTGGGAGAGGGAGGCAGGGCCTCCTCTGGGCAGAGGCCTCAGGTGTGCGGAGGGGGTGTGAGTTCTGCTGTGGGTGGGAGGGCAAGCGTTGTTTGCTGGCTGTCACCTTTATCTGTTGCGCAGGGAAAGAATTTGGGCAAGGTGAGCTTGGTTTAGGAGAAGGTGTCTCTTGGAAGCGTGGTCTCAGCAAGGCGGAAGCTTGTAGGCTTTTGAAAAGAATGTGCACCTTAGAGGCGGGGGGATCTGGAGGTGTATTCAGGAGCTCCTCTTCTTTACCCCTGCTTCCCCCCAGATCTCTCACTCCCCTGGCTTTGTCCAGGGTCCTGGTTGGCGGAAAAGCAGTTTATACGTGCGTTTGTCTTTGTGTGAGCCTGTGTTTGCATCTGTGTGTGTTTTCTCTAGCTCAAGAAGAGACCAAGGAACCCCTCACACAGAGAGGGTAAGGGGCAGCAGACAGCCTGGGCCGGGAGTTCGAGGCTGTTTGGGGCCTGGTGTCTGCCCCACTGATGACTTAGGCATACTTCCAAGGGTGGAGATGGGCAACAAGAAGGGAGGCTTGGCGATCATTTCTAAGGCCCCTTCCAGCTCTGAAATCCTATGAACAATGTTATCCAGTAAGACTGACTCCACCAGGTAACACATGACTGCCAAGTGGGTATTTTAATCGCTGTGATTTCAAAATAACAGGGCCAGTTCTCACAGAGCATTCATTGCTTCGTTGACCATGCAGTCCCTGTGGAACCTGAGTTGGTGGCGGGTCTACAGTCGGTCTGGTTTTCTTAGCGCTGTCTGGCACTGATCCGCCTCAAAGCCTAGAGTCGTTTTATTAGGTGGGTTCAAATTTGCCTACTATAGTTGGTAAGCCTTTGTTTCCCAGTGTTGCTTCTGGGAACTCCAAGGGAATAGTTTGGAAAATGTGTCCTTTTTGGAGGTGGAGAACGTGGCCATCAGCGGGGCGAGTGAATTTGCTAGTAGCTGCAGCCATGCCATGTCATCTGGAGGTGAGAGTGAGGGCGGGCCGGCTGAGATCACTGGACGCGGCCACCCAGGCCTGCCCTGAAGTTCAGTTTCTGCTCAGATCATTTTAAAAGCCCATGTTTGTTTTCATTTTGATGTAAACAGGAAGTATCAGGTCCTAACTGATCTGGTATTTTCTGGGGGGGCAGCAGTAAGTGGTCTTTTCCTCCCTCCCATTGGGAGAAGGGGGTGCAGAGCTGCTCGTGAGGTCAGCACATAGCAGAGAAGTGGTCTGCAGCCCTTTGAGTGGCACCTGCATTTCTATACGGGGACAGCATACATTCATCCGGGCCTTGCTGTGCATGTTCTTGATAATCCCGTTCCACCCGTTAACATCTCCTCAAGGGCGAACGACTGTCAGCCCCCCGCAAAGACGCCGAAGCTGAGGGAGGTTAAGGAACCAGCATAGGGTTGGGGGGTGGGTGGTGCTGGCCTGCGCATGGATTTGTCCTCTCATCATCACAGGGCCAGCAATCGCAATGTCTTTCACTTATCAGTATTGCCATCTTTCTAGAAAACTCGGCTAAGGACAAAGCCTCCCAGATGCTTAGATGACACCCAGATGCGGCATTAATTAACTCCCATAACGAAGAAGCTGTCCCCTGATAGGCCCCTTCCAGTCCTTCAGTGGCCTCTAGGAGAAAGTCTGAATGCCGTCTCCCTTTTTAAAAAGCAATAAGCTAGACCAGGAGGAAACAGGCCTCAGGATCCCAGACTTCTGCAGGCAGCAGAGTCCGCCAGATTTAATATCATTGTTTTGTTTCAATTGTACTCGTTTTTATGGAATTCTTCTCTGTCTGGCACAGATAGCGGTGCTGCCTCTATGGCAATGATATTACGTTAAATTTTTTAAAAGCGGGGAGATTTAAGAAAAAATATTAAATAATTGCGCTGGTGGCGTTCTCCAAACGTGAACCAACGTTTGAGAAGCTGTGCTCGGCTATAGCAACATGTGTGCCACAGGGAGACTCAGCAAGTGACTGAGAGGGAAATGCTTCTTTCTGGAGAGTCTGGTGGAGTCGATGCATGCAAACACACCAGACGGTCAGGGTGGCGGGTCCTTTCCAGGATGGGCGGACAGGTTTGTACAGGTTTTGCTGCAAAGCTGGGGAGTGTGCGTGTGTGCCACTTTCCCCTCGGCAGCCGTAGTTCTTTGCCCTCACAGATGCTGCCGACTGGCCGGTTCTACTTGCACCCAGCTTGGTGTGATGATTCTGTGGGGGTGATTTGAACCCCAGGGCCCAGGAGTTTCCAAGGAAAAAGCCCGACTGGCAAACACCCTTTTTAAAACTGTGTCTGATGTCCTGCATTCCAGAGGGTCCAGAGGTTCGCAAAATTTAGTCATTACCAGCATCACCTGGGAACCGTGGTGGGGACAAATGCTCAGGACCTGCCCTAGCCTTTGTGCCCCAGAAAATCTGATACACATCCGTGCCTGAGCTCTGGGTGCCCATTAGAGTCGCCTGGAGAGCTGTTGAAGCTTTTGAGCCCTGGACCCCACCCCAGAGGAGCCCCCCCCCCGCCCCCCAGAATCTGCTGGGGAGGGAGGCCTGGCATCGGGATTTTTAAAATGCTTCCCGGGTGATTCTGTCGTGTGGGCAGGTGGAGACCCACTGGTTTTGATGGAGCCTCTCTTGTGGGAACTTTAACCCCACCTGGGGATGCTCACAGTGAAGAAGCAAAGGGACTCATGAGGCATTGGAAGAAATTAGTGTGGCTGCAGAGGAAACCCTCAGATCGGAGTTCAGGTTTGCAAGGACTTCTAGGAAAAAATGGAAATAGAAGGCAAGTAACCCCGGGTGATGGGAGAGGGGCACCAACCTGTTAGAACCAGGTCAGGAGGGTTAACAGCTTCAAAAAATGCTAAGGGCATCAAAAGGGCTCTTGAGGATTTGTTCAGAGCAGGAGGAACAGGGCACAGTAAACTGCAGCTCAGCCCGGGCAATGCGGCGGGGAGCCGGGAGCAGGCGGGGAGTGGGGCAGCAGCTCGCGAGGCCTCTCCGTTTCTCGTAGGACCCTGGGCAGCTGGAGAACTGAGGCAGGGATGGCCAGAGAGCCGCCGGCTGCTTTAAGTGAGCTGCCCGTCATCCTCAGGAGTGGCTTCCCCGGGCACTTGAGGACTGCTCATTCCATTGTTGGTGGTCAAGTTAAGGAGCTACGAAGGGAGAGCCAAGCTCATGAAGGCTAGACGGGGATGAAAGTCCCAGTTTTTAAGAAGTTAGGAAAAAGTGAATTCCGGGCCATGGTCTGGTGAGTTTGGGCTCCATTTCCAAGAAACTTCCAGAAAGCATTACTAAGCAGCTGTTGTGTAAGCAGGTGTGGAACCCAGTTTGGGTCAAGGCGATGGCCACTCTCTTCTTTCAGAACAAGGCATGGCGGACTAACCTTTCCTGCTCTGGTAGGTAGCCGAGTGCCAGACTGGGGAGCGCCTGAAAGCATTCGCCCAAGCACTTGTGACGTCGCCGTCTTCATGGGCTCCCCAGAGTGAAGCCAGGTCTGGCTCAGGTGGGCACTCGATCATGCATCTGTGAAAATCCTTGTGGAGAGATCCACAAAGAGGGACCAGATGAGATGCAGCTGTGTGGCTTCAGAGTGTCTTCATCAGCCACCCCTAGAGCAGAAGGGGCCCCTGAAATTTGATGTAGAAGGGGTCTGGCGAGGCTTTCTCCTGGGAGCAGGGCACAGAAGGTTTGAGAGTGTGGCAGCCATACCGTTCCTTTAAGTTACTTGGTTTTTGAGGGTACTCTGGGACGATTGGTGGAGATCACAGGGGCTGAAGTCATTTGCCATCTGTCTGTGCCACTTCTGCCCTCATCTTCTCAGTGGATCTGTGTCCGTCTGGGGAAAGGCACGGTTGGCCTTTTCCACTCTGCATCTGTGCAGGGCTTGGAAAAAGGCGTGTTTCTGAAAGGCCCAAGGCTGGGAGCACTGAGCCAGCATGGGTGACCGTCGAGCTTATAAAGAGTGAAGGGTCGGTGGGCTGACCCACATAAGGGAGATTTCCTATAATGCCACGGAGGTAAAGCTTTGCACCTGGTCAGAAGGCTCCTGGAAGTGACTTCCTTGAAGCCCGACCTTTAGCATTAGAGTCAGAAGTGGCCCTGGTGATCTTAGAGATGACGAAAGTTGAGGCTGGAGACGTGAAGTGACATGCCCAGGGCCACCAGCCAGTAAGTGGTGGTTGTGCAAGTACGCATGGAACAGTCTAGATTTGACAGGGTGAGAAAGACTCCAGTTTCAGTGGGCATGGTACTCCCTTTGCTGGCGAGACGTGGCTGCCAGCAAGGCAGAGGCAAGGCTTGGGCACCGCGGTCAAGGTTTGGTGTTCAGACATCATCAGGGCTTCATCCACCTGGACCAGCCAGGCCTCATGTGACGCTTGTGTGCTGTTCTGGATATCACACTTTATTTTTAACTTATTCGGTTTTAAAACTGTTGTTTTAGAAGTTTTTAAAGTTCTAAAAGTAACATTAGGGGCCAGCTGGTGGCGCAGCGGTTAAATGCGCACGTTCCACCTCGGTGGCCCGGGGTTCGCCGGTTCGGATCCCGGGTGCAGACATGGCACCGCTTGGCAGGCCATGCTGTGGCAGGCGTCCCACATATAAAATAGAGGAAGACTGGCATGGATGTTAGCTCAGAGCCAGTCTTCCTCAGCAAAAAGAGGAGGACTGGCAGCAGATGTTAGCTCAGGGCTGATCTTCCTCACAAAATAAATAAATAAAGTGACATTAAAACAACTGAAAATTTATGAAAAATTGGGGGCTTACATTTGGGAAGGATGTTGACAGACGTGTGGGTGATTAGGGTGCAGAGGGATGGGAAACAGGAAGAGATGCCCTGCTGAGGGGGCCGGTGATCTCCTCCTCCAGGCATCTAGAGGCCTTTTGCAAGGCGGAGGGCGAGGGGCCTGCTGGGTCCTGGCTCTGATCCTGCCCGTCGTGGCACCAGCCCCTTAATATGTGTTAACC